GATCGAGACCACCCTGGTTAACACAGTGAAACCCTGTCTCTACTAAAAACACAAAAAATTATCTGGGCCTGGTGGTATACACCTGTAATCCCAGCTACTCAGGAGGCTGAGGCAGGAGAATCGCTTGAACTTGGCAGGCAGAGGTTGCAGTGAGCCAAGAATCATTTGAAATTGGGAGGCAGAGGTTGCAGTCAGCTGAGATCAAGCCACTGCACTCCAACCTGGATGACAGAGCGAGACTCCATTGCGAAATAAAAAAAAAAAAAACACAATTAAAAAAAAAAAAGGGAATAGAGCCAAAGAAACACAATCAGAAATGACAAAGGGGACATTACCACTAACCCCACAGATATATTTTTTTAAATCCTCAGAGACTATTAAAAACATCTCTATGCACACAAACTGGGAAACCTAGGAGAAATGGATAAATTCTTAAACATACAATCTCCCAAGACTGAGCCAGGATGAAATTGACACCTGAACAGACCAATAACAAACAGTGAGCGAATCAGTAATAAAAATCCTACCAGCCAGGGCCAGGCATAGTGGCTCACACTTGTAACCCAAGCACTTTGGGAGGCCAAGGCAGGCAGATTGCCTGAGGTCAGAAGTTCAAGACCAGTCTGGCCAACACGGTGAAAGCATATCTCTACTAAAAATGCATTTAAAAAAAAATTAGTCGGGCATGGTGGGGTGTGCCTGTAATTCCAGCTACTCGGGAGGCTGAGGCAGGGGAACTGCTTGAACCAGGGAAGTGGAGGTTGCAGCGGGCCAAGATTGCACCATTGCACTCCAACTTGGGTGACAGAGCAAGACTCAGTTTCAAAAACAAAACAAAACAAAACAAAACCTATCAGCCAGAAAAAGCCCTGGACAAGGAAGTTTCACAGCTGAATTCTACCAGTTTTTAAAAAAAAAAAAAAAAAAAGAGCTAGTACCAATTCTACCGAAACTATTCCAAAAAATCATGGAGGGACTTCTTCTTAACTCATTCTATGAGGCCAATATCATTCTGATACCAAAACCTGGCAGAGACATAATGAAAAAAGACAACTTCAGGCCAGTATCTCTGATGAACATAGAGGCAAAAATCCTCAGCAAAATACTGGCAAATCAAATCTAGCAGCACATCAAAAAGCTAATCCACCATGATCAAGCAGGCTTGATTCCTGGGATGCAAGGTTGATTCAACATACACAAATCAATAAATGTGATTATCACATGAACAGAACTAAAAACAAAAAACACATAATCATCGCAATAGACATAGAAAAGGGTAAAATTAGGTAAAATTAAACATCTCTCCTCTTAAAAACCCTCAACAAACTAAGCATTGAGGGTATATACCTCAAAATAGTAAAAGCCATCTAAATAAACCCATAACCAACATCATACTGAATAGGCAAAAGCTGGAAGCATTCTCTTTGAGAACTGCAACAAGACAAGGATGTCCACTCTCACCACTCCTATTAAACATAATATTAGAAGCCAGAGCAATCAGGCAAGAGGAAGAAACAAAATATATCCAAATAAGAAGAGTGGAAGGAAAACGATCTCTCTTCACAAATGATGTGATGCTATACTAGAAAACCCTATGTCTATGCCCAAAGGTTCCTACATCTGATAAACAACTTCAGGAAAGTTTCAGGATACAAAATCAATGCACAAAAATCAGTAGCATTTCTCTATACAAACAGCATCCAAGCTGACAGCCAAATAAATAAGGCAATTCCATTCACAATAGCCACAAAAATAAAATAGCAATACAGCTAACCAGAGAGGTAAAACAGCTCTACAAAGAGAATTACAACACACTGCTGAAAGAAGTCAGAATCAACACAAACAAATGAAAAACAACATTCTATGCTCAGGGATAGGAAGAATCAATATTGTTAACATGGCCATATTGCCCAAAGCAATTTACAGATTCAATGCTATTCCTATCAAACTGTCAATGATGTTTTTAACAGAATTACAAAAAAAAATTCTAAAATTCAGTTGGAATCACAAAAGGGCCCAAAGAATCATATTAACATCAATCCTAAGCAAAGAGAACACAACTGGAGGCATCACACTACCCAACTTCAAAATATACTACAAGGCTACAGTAACTAAAACAGCATTGCACTGGCACAATTGTAAACAGAGAGACTGGACCAATGGAACAGGTTGGAGAACCCAGAAATAAAACCATACACCTAACACTATCGAATCTTCAACAAAGTCAACAAAAACAAGCAACGAGGAAGGGACTTCCTATTCAGTAAATAGGCGGGGATAACTGGCTAGCCATATGCAGAAAATTAAAACTGAATCCCTGCCTTTCACGATATACAAAAATCAACTCAAGATGGGTTAAAGACTTAAAACATAAAATGTAAAGCTACAAAAACCCTAGAAGAAAACCTAAGAAATATCATTCCAGACATGGGCCCAGGTAAAAACTTCATGATGAAGATTCCAAAAGCAAATGCAATAAACAAACAAAAAAAAAATGGCAAGTGGGACATAATTAAAGAGTTCTCCATAGCAAAAGAAACTATCAACAGAGTTTCTACAAAATGGAAGAATATATTTGCAAACTATGCATCCAACAAAGTTCTAACACCCAGAATCAAATCAACAAGCAAAAAACAATGACATTTAAAAATGGGCAAAGGACATGAACAGACATTTCTCAAAAGAAGACACATATGCAGCCAACAAGCATATGAAAAAATGCTCACTATCACTAAACATTAGGAAAATGCAAAAAAAAAAAAAACCACCATGAGATACCATCTCACACCACTCAGATTGGCTATCATTAAAAAGTCAAAAAACAACAAATGCCACTGGTTGTAGAGAAAAGACAACATTTATACACCACTGGTGGGATATAAATTAGGTCACTGTGGAAAACAGTCAAGATTTCTCAAAGAACTTAAAATGGAACTACCATTTAACCCAGTAATCCCACTACTGCATATATTCCCAAAGGAACATAAATCATTCTACCATGAAGACTCATGCCCTCACTGCAGCACTGTTCACAACAGCAAACACACAGAACCAACCTAGATGCCAATCAAGGGTGGACTGGATAAAGAAAATGTGGTGTATATACACCATGGAATACTACACAGCTACAAAAACAAAATTAGATCATGGCCTTTGTAACAACATGAATGGAGCTGAGGCCATTATCTTAAGTATATTAATACCACATGTAAAAACATGGCATTTGGTTTTCTGTTCCTGCATTTATTCATTTACAGCAAGTGGGAGCTAAACACTGAGTATACATGGACACAAAAAGGGAACAATACACACCAGAACCTATTTGAAAGTGGAAGGTGGGAGAAGGGAGAAGATTAAAAACTACCTATTGGGTACTAGGCTGATGACCTCGGTGACAAAATTATCTGTACACCAAACCCCTGTGACATGTAGTCTAGCCATATAACAAACATGCACATGTACCCCTTAAATCTAAAATAAAAGTTAGAAAGAAAAAAAAAATACCAGGGAGAAAAAATAATTTAAAATAATGCAAATAAAAAACAATGTAACAGCTATTTTCATTGCATTAGACATTATAGGTAATCTGGAGATGACTTAAAGCATATGGGAAGATGAGCATAAGCTATATGCAAATACTATACCATTTTATGTAAGGGACTTGAGCATCTGCAGATTTTGGTATCCTAAGAGAATCCTGGAACCAATCCCCAAAAATACTGAGGGCCAACTGTACCAACTTTAGTTTAACAATCCTTGCCTCAGAGAAGCCATTCCTGACCTTCCAGAATAGGTCAAATTCCCCTACTTAATAGCAACAAGAGGTTCTCATTTTTGTAATGCATATTTTGGTTGCAATTTTATGTGTGTGATCAAGTCTGCTTGACCCCAGCCCTGCCATACCCTATTACTCTGTAAGCTCCAGAAACTTAAGAGTTCATTTCTTTGTTGTTTTTTTCTCAACATTCTATCTCCTATGACTAACAGTGTTGCATATGCAGTATGAATAAATATTTCATGAAAGAATGAACAAGTTGAATCATTAAGAACTTTTCCTGGCTAGGTACAGTGACTCACACCTGTAATCCAGCACTTTCAGAGGCTAAGGAAAGAGGACCACTTGAGGCCAGGAGTTCTAGACCAGCCTGAGCAACACAGTGAGACCTTGTCTCTCCAAAAAAAAAAAAAAAAAAATATATATATATATATATATACACACATACACATATAAAATTAGCCAGGCATGGTTAATGCCTGTAGTCTCAGCTACTTGGGAGGCTAAGGCAGGAGGATCACTGGAGCCCAGGAGTTGGAGATGGCAGTGAGCTGTGATCACGCCACTGCACTCCAGCCTGGGCAATACCGCAAAACCCATCTCAAAATTAATTAATTTAATAAATAAAAACTTGTCTTACATGTATCTCCACATTTCCCTCACCCTGCCTACCACTTATTAAAATTTCCAGGGAGCAAGCTCCTGACATGTTTAAAATTTCTTTTAAAAAACATTCTCCAGGTAATACTGATACCATCTCCTATTGGATTATTAGGCCAAAGGTTTCTAACTAATTTGCTGGTATTAATAATTACTCAAACTGAAAGCATACTGCCTAAGAGAAAATAGTTGATTCACTTTACAAATTCAGTTATAAAGTAAAAGCAAGCATCAAAGTCACATAAAAAGCCAGAGAAATGTGATCAAGAAATACTCCAAGATAAGGTCTGAGAGTCTCAATGACCTCCTCAACTATGGCACAGTGTAATGACTAATATTTTACTGCATGTATCCAATATAATCAAGACATGAGTAGACAAGGTGTAAGTATCAAAAGAATATAAAATATTTAGTAGGCACTCAATATCTGTTGTGTTATTTAATTAGCTAAATGAATGTAAACAGTATGGTCTCTTCCCCCAGAAATTTTACAATGTAATTGAACGACAAATTTTTAAAATCTACTCTTCTAGTTGGAGAGAAAGAAAAAATTAACATCAGAAAGTTTAAAATCATTACATACTTTATTTAAGAACAGTATGTTTATCAAGTTAGGGCAGTGGTATGATTTCTCAATTTACACATATTTCTTTTGAAATTTTAGAAAAAAATTCTTCAGCAATGTAAGCATAACTCTTGAATATGTAGCATAGTCTTTGCTCTTTATTCTGAATAACAAAATCATGCAAATTATCCTCTTTGCATAATTATTCCCCCCAAAACTATTTGATAATATAGAAGTATCTCCCTAAAAAGCAGTCATAAACCATAAATTGAATATAAATATAAAAAAGAGAACAAATTTTAAAGCCTCTAAGCAAAAAAATTAATACATTGGCTTTACCTATAAACCTTATTTTGTTAATGCTAAGCAGAGAAACTTTAAGAGCTCATAAGAGTCAGCAAACAGCTACAGATGTGTCTTCTTGTTAAGAATTCATTCAGTGCTTCTCGTAATAGCAGATTTTTAAAAATGAATTCATTAAGGCTCTTGAACCTCTGAACATAAGGCAACAGTTCACAACTGATTTCAGAAATAGAATGTAAGTATTAAATTACAAATTCTACTACGTTAGTGGAAGTGGGCAGATTCACCTGGAGTAGAGCAGTGAGGGTTTATTTTACCCATTTCAAGATCTCTCCATATATGCCACCACTTTGAGGTAGGCTGGGGGAGGAGGTGGAATAGCTTAAAAGGTTATACTTCTTATTTTAAAGTATAAAAACATATACTTAAAGGCTAAACCTATCTATAACCTACATCTTAATGTCAGCAAAACACACTGCTTTCTACCCAAATCACCAACTGAATCAGCCTTACTCATGATTTCAGAGCATGAGGTGTCCAGAGAAGAAAACTCAAACCTGAATGGGCTGCATAATGGAGAAGTACAGGTAGTCAAGGCCAGCAGGTAAGACAGCATTAGACAGATGATTTAAAATCATCCTGAGTGCTGCATTTCCTGTATATGCCCAGACTTGGTAATGCCTGACAAATTCTGTATATCACCATATCTTGCATTTAATAGACAATATGTATAATGATCCTAACTTTACTCACACTTAATTGACTTTCTCATATCCTGAGTAGATTAAGTAAACTATTTCAAAGATGAATTTAAAATAATTTTTAAGGAACCCAGAATCTTGATTTAGAACATTGCTTTGACTTATATTACTTTGTATTAGTATATCCTATTCATAATTTTGCACTGACTTTCAATATAAAATGAAATCTCTGCTTACACAAAGTAATTGTCAGCTCTAAATCAACATGAATGGAGTGACACTAAAAATACACTATTATTGCCCATAAAAGAGTTCAATGTAAAATAATCACTGCCTAATATTTTATATTCAGTTTGTGTCTTTATCTCTACTCCCAGGCAAATATTCTCACTTAAGACCAGTGCTTTAACTGTTTCTTGTAAAGACATTTATTGTTATTGCATATTTATTTATAATTTATGGTTATTCATACAGAATTTGTTTATTTCTAGAATTTTGGGGTAAGAATCATTATAATCACTAATGCAAAATATTCAATTTTTTTAATGTTACATTTCTTCTGTTTTTAAATTTTTTTTGTGAATAAAAAAACACATCATAAGTTCATGAGATCTAGGCAGCTCGCTACTGTATCAGATATTAAAAACCTTAAGCTAAGGGTTAATCCTCATTGCTTATGAGAATTTCTCAAGAATGGGTCAAATGCACCACATTTAAATTTGTAGATTATTTTGTCCAGCTGCTCAATCGAGAGAAATACCACCCAAAGAAATCAATTCTGAATTCATGACTTTATTTAATAAACACTATGTTTTGCAACCCATATAAAAACTGATCACCCAAGCACATACAAAAGGAACATATTAAGTGGGCTTGCTTAAGTATTGACAACTAGTCACTGTCCTCTAAATACTCTAATTTTGGCAATAACCCACAAGGTTAACTTTTAGAAAATTCAGCTTGATACAATAAAATAATTCATCATAATTAGACAATACAATTTTTCACTTTTGAGGCAAAATACATAAATCAATACTTGTTTATATGACTTGCAAAATGTCTATACATTAAGATTGCTACAGTCTATAAGGTAACCAAAGATAAGTGATACATACCCTTTAGAAAACACAATTTGTCTGGGGGGATGGTTGCACATATATTTAAATATGCTAAAAACCACTGAATTATATATTTTAAATGTGAGATTTATACGGTATGTGAATTGTATATCATGAAGGCTTTTTAAACAAAACAACACTGCTGTTAACTTAGATCAAAAAAAAAACCAACCCATAATTTGTCACACATTGTTCTTTTCAGACATATTTTTATAAAGACAGAAATTAACATTTGTAGCATCAGCAAGTTTGATTAGCAAATGTTACCCATGTACGTATAATTATCTAATCGGTAGCCAAAGTGTGCCCTTGACGCTAACCACCCCTAGAATTGAATAATCTGTAAATTACAACATGAGTTGTAATCCCCCATCCACTACCAGAACATGCCCTGTAATATATGGCGATTCTAAAAGAAATACAACCGCATGTGCCACCTCAAGTGTTTCTCCAAACCTTCCAAGGGGAATATTTTTCTTTAAATGTTCTTCTTTCAAGTGTTTCGTCATATCTGTGTGTACAAATCCTAAAAGAGAAATGTTTGCTTAGTTGAAAAGGATACACACTAAGACATCTGCTCAATTTCAAAAAAATAATAAATTTGTTTCCAAAAATTTTAATTTGAAATTATTTTTAAAACAATTTTTTTTTTTGAGATAGGGTCTTGCTGTGTCACCCAGGCTAGAGTGCAGTGGTAAAATCACAGCTTACTGTAGCCTGGACCTCTAGGGCACAAAAGGTCCTCTCGCCTCAGCCTCCCAAGTAGCTGGGACTACAGACATGTGTCACCACACCTGGCTAGCTTTTGTACTTTACTTGTAGAGATGGGCTTTTGTCATGTGGCCCAGGCTGGTCTCAAACTCCTGGACTCAAGGGATCCGCCCACCTTAGCCTCCAAAAGTGTTGGGATTACAGGCATGAGCCACCATACCCACCCTATAATTTGAATTATTAATAAACCTTGTTTATAAAATAGTTTTGTTAGTAATCAAGACACTAAGTCTACATTTTTATTCAATTTAACTGAATGAATATTTATTGAACACCAAAATATCTGACCCCCAAGTATCTGGCCCACCTTCTTGCAAAATATAAGTAGGTAGACACAAACACAAATAAAACAAAATTCCATTATTTGGGCAACCTATGATTTGTGGAGGAAATGGTCACTTGCACACTTGATTATGATGCAAGGAAGTCTGGTGAATATTCTAATAGAAGTATATATAAAATACCACAGAACAGATTAATTTTCACTTAGGTAGGGATAGAAGAGTGGAAAGTAGTGCCAAGAGAAGGAAGGCATCACAAAAGTGGTCACATGAACTGATTTTGGTAGATGATTAGAAATGCCAGTATTCCCCATCTCCGTATTTTTTAAATCTTATGGTCATATCCAATTCTGACATAAGTAATCACAGAAAATTCAAAATTTAATATGGTACTGGTGTATTCAATAAAGCCTGCAGAGAATATGTTCTAAGGAACATATTAAGTTCTATAGTATAAAGAACTAACTACGGAATACATTAATCAACCAATCCTAAGTAACTACAAATATATACCAGGAAGAACTGTAGACTTGTGAAGAAAATCTTGTAAGATTAATATGGGACATACAAATACATATTACTAATAAAATGCTTAACCCATATAATCAATATTCTGTATATTAATCATTTGGGTTTTTAAAAAGAAAGCAAGGCCAGTCGCGGTGGCTCACGCCTATAATCCCAGCACTTTGGGAGGCCAAGGCAGGCAGATTGACTGAGCTCAGGAGGTCACCACAGCCTGGGCAAAAAAAAAAAACCCCCCCCTTCAAAAAAAAAAAAAAAAAAAAAAAAATTAGCCGGCATGGTGGTGTGTGCCAGTAATCCCTACTCGGTAGGCTGAGGCAAGAGAATTGCTTGAACCTGAGAGGCAGAGGTTGCAGTGAGCCGAGATCGCACCACTGCACTCCGGTCTGGGCAATAGAATCCGTCTCAAATAAATAAATAAATAGAAAACAAATATTAATCCTCATGAAAAGAACAATAGTTAGAAAAAGAAATTTAAGGTCATGAAAAATGGACTAAAAGGTCAACATGACATGTGAAGTAAACATTTGATGTACAATCTCAAAAATATAGTTTCCAAACTGCCTTATGTTAAAACTAAATCATTTATATTAATAGCTCAAACTAAAGAACAACCTAAATATATTAACATTTAAAGTACCAAAATAAATGTGAAGTAAACAATGAATTAAGAATTAACATGAGGCCACTGGTTTATTATGCAATACTATGTAATTACTTAACTTTTCTTTCTTGAGATTTGCAGTTATAAATATCTACGCATTTTCTTTAAAGTCTTGTGAAAAATATTCATAGATTTGCCTATCATGAAGCCTATGATGGGTTAAGGGAAAACCGAAACAAGCTAATGTCTTTCAATAAGAAACTCGTTAAATAAGTTGCAATACATCCACACAACAGAATAATGCAGGTGTTAAAAATAATAATATATGTTCTCACTTATAAGTGGGAGCTAATAATCTGTTCACATGAACGTGTTGACAATGGAGATTCAGAAGGCTGAGAGGGTGGGAGGGAGGTGAATGAGGAGAAACTACCTAATGGGTACAATGTATGTTATTCAGGTGATAGATATTCTAAAAGCCCTGACTTCCCACTATGAAATCCATGCATGGAATAAAATTGTATCTGCACCTGCATTTATTTGTATTTATACAAATAAATGAATAATAAGATAAAAAGATAAAAATTACGCTGCAGAAGGATATTTAAATCTAAAAATAACATTTGTATAGGAAATGTAGGTTACAAATGAATTAAGTTACACCACTATTAAAAACACAACAAATCAACTTATACTAATGACTAAAAAACATACTATATACCAAAATGTTAACAGTGATTATCATTAGATACTAGAATTACAGGGGATTATTTTTATTTTCTTCTTTATATTTTTCACTCTTTCCAAACTGTCTATAACACATATATATATATAATTTTTGTATTCAGATAAAAAGTTTTTGAAAAAAGACACACAGTACTACCTTCAGATAGTCTGTAACGAAGGGCTGGAAAAACAAAACTAATTTTGTATTATGTATGTTTCACTGTGAAATTACACTGTGAAATACTGTACAATCTTCTCTGCCATAAAATCTGACCACATTTATTTTAAAAGCCAGCAATATTTCCTTCATTTCCTCTCATCTTTAAGAAGAATGAGATAGCCAGAGGAATGCAAGGGTAAAAGGAGCAGCAGCTAACACAGATATAGAAACCAGCCTCTGCAAAATTTCGAGCAAACTGTAAATGAAACTTAATTTACAGTGAAGAGCCATAATAATCAATGGGCAATCCAATCATCTTCAGAACAATATCATGGGGGTTCTTGCTATCCAAGGTTTTCTGTCTTTGGACACACGTATTTTCAAAAGTGCCTCAGAGAGTATCCTAGGAAGAAAACCTTATCTCACACTTGTAATAAAAGAATGAATTCAAATTGTCAATGTAACATGTAAAAGTTAATGTTATCTTCTCAAAGATAGACACAATTATCCTTTAAGGTCTTTCTGAATTCTAGCAAAATCAGCACAGAATACTTCCTACTAACTCTCACAAACTCTCAGCATAAAAATCGATGCATTTTGAAAACGGGGAAGATGGCCGAAAGGAAGATTCTCCAGAGTACAGCTACCACCAAGTAAGACAGAACCAGAGCAATTACCCGTCTCGGAGTGAGGTATCAGTTCTGTTTTAAAGGGACTAGTTGAACAGCAGGATTAACCCCAAAAAAAGACAGCGAAAGCAGCCCAAAGGTGTCCAACCGAGGCAAGGCGTGGCACTCCTCCACCTGGAAATTGTATCAGGCATGGAGGATGGGTGGGGGAGCATCACCTCCTTGGTTCTCTGAATCAGATACAGCAATTCACTCTTCAGCAGCACACAGACCAGGAAAACGCTGCCTTGCTGAGAACCATCCAGAGTCGAGGACCTGGGCAACAGCCTAGGCCAGCAGCCCTGGTCAGACTGGTGCCTTGTTAGTGCAGACCAGGGCAGTGATTTGGACTAATACGGGAAAGCTTGTGAAAAGGAACTGCCTGTCCCACAAAAGGGAGAGTTGAAAGTGGGGAAGGGGATACGACCAGACAGGCCCATCCCTGACAAGATCCAGCAACCGAGTCCCTCTCCCAGGAGAGTTTTGCAGTTAACACCTCCACCCAGGAACAGAGGGCTCAGCAGACGGAAAGAGCCCATTGAGGAGGCAGGGCTAACCTCATCAGTAAGGAAACCAGGCCAAGAATAAACAGCAGCCTGACTGGGACAGAGGCAGCCCAGTAGCACCTCCACAGACACACTGTCTCAAGTGGCACACTGACACCTGCGTTAAAAAAAAAAAAAAAAAAAAAAGCCTCATACAGGAGAAATAACCCCAACTTTAACAGAAAGGACGTCCACTCAGAGAAGATGGGAAGAAACCAGTGCAAAAAGGATGAAAAGATCAAAGTCCAAAATGCCTCTCCTCCCCAGAAAGATCACAACGACTCACCAGCATGGCCACAAAACAGGTCAGAAAACAATTTTGATGAGCTGACAGAAGCAGGCCTCAGAAGATGGGTAATAACAAACTTCTCTGAGCTAAAATAACATGTTTTAACCCACTGCAAAGAAACTAAGAACCTTGAAAAAAGATTAGATGAAATGCCAACTAGAAAAACCAGCCTGAGGAATATAAACGACTTGATGGAGCTGAAAAACACAGCACAAGAACTTCGTGAATCATACACAAGTTTCAGTAGCTGAATCAATCAAGCAGAAGAAAGGATATCAGAGATCGAAGATCAACTCAATGAAATAAAAAGAGAAGGCAAGAAAAGAGTGAAAAGACCAAAGCCTCCAAGAAACATGGGACTATGTGAAAAGACCTAATCTACGCTTGATCGGTGTACCTGAAGAGGAGGGGGAAAATGAATCTAAGGTGGAAAACACTCTTCAAAATATTATCCAGGAGAGCTTCCCCAACCTAGCAAAGCAGGCCAACATTCAAATACAGGAATTACAAAGAACACCTCAGAGATACTCCTCAAGAAGAGCAACCCTAAGGCATATAATCGTCAGATTCACCAGGGTTGAAATGAAGTAAAAAATGCTAAGGGCAACCAGAGAGAAAGGTCGGGTCACCCACAAAGGAAAGCCCATCAGACTCACAGCGGATCTCTCGGCAGAAACCCTACAAGCCTTCTCAGAGTGGGGACAAATATTCAACATCCTTAAAGAAAAGAACTTTCAACCCAGAATCTCATATCCAGCCAAACTAAGCTTCATAAGCGAAGGAGAAATAAAATCCTTTAAGGACAAGCAATTATTGAGAGATTTCGTTGCCACCAGACCTGCCCTACAAGAGCTCCTGAAGGAAGCACTGAACACAGAAAAAAACACCCAGTACCAGCCACTGCAAAAATGAACCAAATGTTAAAGACCAACGACACAATGAGGGAACTGCATCAGC